GAGAGAGACAACTGTCAGTTTATCGAACCTTGTATTATTGAATCATGACTATGCACTACCTACTAAAGAAGTTGCCGAAAATGAGTGCAAAAAAGTTACCGTGTCTGAACTCAGGCTAACCGAAAGGAATGACAGCAAAATGAAATAATCGAAAAATTTTGTGCATCAAATGTCAGAATCGGAGAAAACAAAAAATACAATCCTCGTTATTTGCGCCAGGAAGTAAATTAGAAGAAGATTTTTTTCAAAAGTTATTTATGTAGAATGCCGAAAATTGTGGAGTTACGCTCAAACCGTAGCTTATTACAAAGCAATTTTGATGGGTACAAACTGTCCCTAGATCCAGTGGCTTTACTACGTCAGGAACTCCCATATGCTCCTCATAAAGCTGAACCAAATGAGGATCAATATTCCTTACTGCATGCAGAACTTTTTTCTATGCAAAATTTGCAGCAAGTAGATCCGTGGGCTCGCACGGATTCGTACTATGTTAGCCGACTTGCCGAAGTTGTGCGGGCAGCTTACAATGAGCCTTCTGGACGTGCGGAATCAGTGCAGGTCGTATATCGCCTTTCAACACATACGCCGCGTGTCAAAGGAGATTACAATTATTCCATGCGTTTTATATCTGAAAAGTATTGCGTTCTATGTGATGGGATTCAACATCTGTTTTTATTAGACACAAACGATCGTACTAAAGCAGCTAAATGGAAGTTGATTGCCGAAACGCCTATAGTGGCATTTGCTAATTCTATATCTTCTGAGCGCAATTTTTGCTTGTACGATTGTCGTTTGGATATCGTACAGGAGGAAAAGCAAATTAGTTTAGCGATAGGTAGAGTCGAAAGAAACGACAGTTCCTCCGGCGGCGGCTCCAAACATTTTATGCATTTGCATTGGGCCAAATGGATACACAATAAAGAATGGTTGTTTTCGATACTCGATACTCTTGAGGGAAAAGGCTCGTTATATTATTGTGCATTTGAACCCCGTGCTGAATCTATTATTATTTGTTCGAACCATGAATACACTTTTCGTTCTAAAAAATCGTCTGATAATAAAGAAAATACTGATAAGATTCCGTTGTATAAAGAAGTATCTGAAATTAATGGCTTCACATGGACGCAAACAGACGACGATATAACTATAAAATTTGACGTTAAGGAAGGAAAGGAAAGAACCGATTACAGTGTCAATTATGCTGCTGATAAACTGACCGTGAAGTGTTGCGAAGAAGTGCTTTTTGATAGTCAGCTCTTCGGTAAGGTTGACCAAGACTTGACCACATGGACAATCGAAAACAATTACTTACAAATAACGTTGGTTAAACGAGTTTTAACTTTGAATTGGCCATCGCTTCTATGTGACAACGTTGGCCCTGAAGAAACTTTAGACAAAAGCGGACAATCCGATTTACCTATAGATCAAAGGCCTATTGTCAACTTGGAAGCTCCTATTGAGGATTGTGACTTTCCTATGTCTGGCATTGAAGAGGAAATACGAATTGGTAATGCCTAATGCATTTAAAAATCAATGGAAAAATAAATACGTATTTTACTTTCAGGCCGCTATCATCTGTCAACGAAGTCAATAACACACGCTGTATTACTAGGTTCATCGCCTCCCCTTTTCTCCACTAACCTGCGACCAGGTTTCCCCAATGCTTTGGCAATACGCCAAGATGTTGATGCTGGGCTCTGGTTGCAAAACTACAATCCAAATAAACCTGAAGACTGGTCTCTGCGGCACGAAGCCAACTTGCATGCATTTGGATATGTGCAAGCTTCTAAGCAACAAAGGAAATTCATTGACTGTTCACCAGACTTCAATTATGCTCTCATCTGTGAATCGCATCGCCATGTTTTCCTTTACAAATCAAATTATGATGGTGCAGATGGTCTACGAAATCGTAACGGCCCGCAAGTTAGGTTGGGAAAGCAACACTTAGTAACCTTGGAAGATGCAGGAGAAGTTCTCGGACTTGCAACTGCGGAAAGCGTTGTGACCATATTGACGGAACGTTGTCTGTTACATTTGCAATTAAGTTAGCTAAACTATTACTCTAAATTATTTTGAAGTTAGGCCAAAAATTCCAAAAAGATTAACGTTCACGCATCAAATGTGTGATTTTTTTCTATTAACAATGAATAACCAACAATAATGGCCGTACGACAACGCATAGATGTCTTTCATTACTAAAAATGGGTTGGGTTCCGAAAAGTATCTATTAGTTCGAAGAATTCATTGACATGATCCTCTTTCTCCTCCGACCTCTGGGAACCACAGGCAAACCTCTTCAAAAAAGAAAAAATCGTTGATTTTCCTTACAAACTGCCACAAATGTTTAAAGTAAAATGAAGAGAAAGAGAATCAAGCCATTTAATTCCTTGGCTTGGATCGATAGAGATGACTGAGCTGAGTATAACGGTATACTTTTTTTAGGGAAACAACAACAACAATTATCAAAGGTTGAATAATAATAAAATAAGCTATTTTTGAAATCAAGATTTCTTAAAAACAAATGGATGGATAATTTGGTATACGTATTTTATATATATATTGTATAGTCCTTACAAAAATTGAATTAATGTAAAATAATTATAAAAAAAAAAACACCTTTACAGAGAAAGGGAATCAAATTTCCTATTGAATGATTTCAAAATCCATCCATTGGTTTTTAAGAAATGTTGATTTGAAAAAAAAGCTTATGTTGAACTTTAACTTTTGATAGTTCTTGTTATTGTTCTTTCCCAATATTTTGTTTTCTAATTTAAGATTTGGAGCCAAACTGCATTTATGCCGCAATGTGTATGTAATAATTTAATTCCTAATTTCCCGGAAAAAATTAAATTGTTTCTATCAAGATCTATACATAGAAGGTCGCGCAATCCGCGAAATAAAAATTGCCTCTCTCTGCGCATATCGTCTCAGGGCGATATTTTGCTTCATGCCGAAAAAGCCACAAAATCGGAAAACTGCGAAATTTTCATTTAAACTCGCTATATCTCAGACGTTTGTGTATCGATTGATTTGCAATTTGTACACAATAAACTAGATTCTATTCTGAAGAAGATGAGTCTAACTGCACTTCATAATACTTGTTTAAAACGAAATTGCGGATATTGTAACATTTTTATAAAAATTAAGGAGGTGGTTTTTACAAATGCAAAAGTTGTGTTATGAAGTTTAAAACTTTTGTTTTGTTTTAATGCAGCATTAAAGACAAATATATACGGACATTTTCGGGAAAGTTTCAGGTTTAGACAACAAGTAGTTCTAAAGTAATAACACTATTATGGTGACACCCACAATCGGGTGCTCGCCTCTACATAGATGACAAATATTTTCACATAGCACTTGTACAAGTAATTTTGGAAGTAATATTAAGTGAAATGTTGAAATTCATAAATTTATCAGTGTAATATAACTTATTAAAGCTCTACATACCTACATATGTATGCATATACATATATAATTACACACATAGTCAAAATGGTTATTCGTACAGTGATTGATTTACAATATTCGCAATGTTTTAAATTTTTCACGAAAATACTGTTCATATTTTAACAAAACCATATAAATGAAATTTTCAAACTTTCGGCAAAACTTAAAAAAAATTATACAAATTTTCATCAAAACTTTGAATGACAGTTTTTAGAAAAAATTTAGTATGCAGAGTTGTAGCTCATTCAGTCTCAGTTAATAAATCGCAAGCTTCAAGTCGCTTTAGATTACCTTTGCTTGTTTAGAATTTGTTTCTCAAGGTTGTTACATATCTGATCCCATGAGCAAAATGTAGTTTTGCATGGAAGAAAACGTTCAACACCATTGAGAAAAAAAATCTAAAAAATCAACGCAATTTTCCTCTAAAAATTGTCAGTCAAAATTTTGAAATATAGATCAAAATTTGTAGAATTTTTTAAGTTTTACAAAAAGTTTTAAAATTTAATTCGTATGGTTTTTGTTAAAATATCAACTATATTTTCGTGAAAAACTACCGAATAATCATTATTCAAAACAGTGCGAATATTGTGAAACAATCACTGTACGAATAACTATTTTGACTATGTATGGAGTTACGTGCATATTTACTAGGTATGTATGTATGTAAGTATTAAGTTTAGTAAGTCTATTAAGTTTAGTAATAGTTATATAACATTGATAAATTCATGCATTTCAACATTTCACTTAATATTACTTCCAAAATTACTTGTACAAGTGCCCAGTAAAAATATTTGTCATCTAGAGGAGAGCGACCGCTCGTGGGTGTCATCATAATATTGTTATAACTTTAGAACTACTTGTTGTCTAAACCTGAAACTTTCCCAAAAATGTCCGTATATATTTGTCTTTAATGCTGCATTAATACAAAACATAAATTTTAAACTTCATAACACAACTTTTGCATTTGTAAAAACCACCTCCTTAATTTTTATAAAAATGTTAAAATATCCGTCATTTTGTTTTAAATAAATATTAAGAAGTGCAGTTAGACTCATCTTCTTTAGAATAGTATCTGGTTTATTGTGTACAAATTGCAAATCAATCGATACACAAACGTCTGAGATATAGCGAGTTTAAATGAAAATTGCGCAAAAATTTTCCGCAGTGAAAAATCCGATTTTGTGGCTTTTTCGACATAAAGGCATGAGTAAAAATTTAGTTAAAATTAACTGTAAATGTATTTTTGAATAAGCTAGCGATTACAATTGGTTTGAAATTGCTCCAGTTCATTTCAATTTTATGTTTTTTTACGCTGCTTGTTGTTTTCGCTGTTGATGTCGCCCAATTTTGCGAGAAAAGAATAACGGACCTGCGCATTGCGCAACCTTTAATATATAAACCTTGGTTTCTATCTTGGTTAGGACAAGTGGATCCAAACATATGCCCGTAAGTGTTTTTGCTCAAAAGAAAAAAGGAGTGTTGCCAGAATATTTTTGTTAAAAAACTTCCAAGTAACGATAAAATCTTCAAAACACCATAATTAGGTTATATTACGTTCAAATTGGCCCCATTTAACTTGTTAAATTAAAAAGAGCTTTTTGGAAAACACAATCGTCCACATTGAACATTTGGAGTTAACTTTGACGGTTGTTTGATTACCAATACAAATTCGAAAAAATTTCCAAAATAAAGTTTTTGTGTTTCAATTTGTTTTGTGCGAATGTCTGCTTCATGATATTAACGCATACGGATTACTTAGAGACTTCAAAATGTTTAGTTTGTATGCACTATTTATCTCTGCGTACGATGAGACCTCATGGAAAATAACTAATTACCGCCTGGGCCTCTTTTTTGGCGGGCAGACATGCATACAATTTTAATATTTTTTGATAATTTTTAATATGTTTCAGAATATAAATCTTTTGAGCGTTGGCGTGTCAAATGAAAGCTTTTGGGTCTTTCTGATTGGCCGCAGCAAAAAGCTTTCTGATACAACTCTGCGCAGAACTGGTTTTCAAACGAGTTAAATGATTTAACTGGTTTAATTTTCCAACAACAATTGCATGCGATTTAACTGGTTCAAGCCCATTTAACATGTTCAGCTCGTCAATTTGAACGTTACTTTGAAGGTTACTGAAACTGGAAAAAAATATTTTTTCTCTCTAGAAATATCTTCATTAAAGCTTTTGTAACAAAAAAAAATTGCATTTTTTTATTAAATTTTATTTGTTATACAAAACCATAACACATTTTGTTTAAAAAATAAAAATAAAAAGCTTTGAATTCATAACAGCCTTATACCATGTTCTGACCGACATCGAAAACATGTTTTCGTTGGTAAAACTGGTTTTCGACCTAAAACTTGTGTTTTTGTCCATGTAAAATCTGTCAAACGAAAACTAGTTTTCGCTGAAAACCACTTGAAAACTCACGTTCCACTCATTTCAATCGGTGTCTGCACTAGTTTTTTTCGATTATTTATCGAAGTGGAAGTAATATTTTATCATTTTTAATACGTCATTTCGGATTTATTGTTAACTGGCTGGCCAAAATAAAGTAAGCATGGAAGTAAAAGGTTGTTAATGAAAAGAAATTGAAGGAAAAGTATTTTGGTTTTGTTTTTGTGTAGCAAAACTGTAAGCAAAGGATGAAAGAAATGTCAACGAAAACACCAACAGTCGGTGTGAACAGCCTTCAGCCCACAATCCTACAACTCGTTTTCAAGGTGTTTTCGTTGTCGGTCAGAACATGGTATTATACACGAAGCTCATTTAACAGCATGATTCAATAATACAAGGTCAGATAATTGTTGACAGCTGCGGTTTGACAATCCCTTACAAAAGGTTGCATTTACGAAGGACAGAGAAAGGGCAAGAATGCAATCCCTTGTTGCGAAAATGGTAGTAGAAAAGTACGCAAAGTAGGCAATTAGTAGTGAAATTCCTTTTGTAAATTCGAATGTATTTGCAGGAAATCTGGCATTTTAAACGAAATGTTGAACGTAATATTGATATATCTACGTGAATTACGTAATTTATGTGCTATTTAGCTGTATAAAACCTGCAAAATGACTCAAAATTAAAATAAGACTACTATGAGATTGATGTAAACATCCAATGCTTATGTTTTCATCAGTTCAATATGCTTCATATGCATATACAAATAAACATATTGCACAAAAGCGTATACTTTTATTTCACACCAAAGCTACACTGTTTCCATGTAAATTTGAAAAGAAGCAACACAGTGCCACTGCTAAGGGAGCGGTGCGAGAGAGACAACTGTCAGTTTATCGAACCTTGTATTATTGAATCATGGTGTATAAGCGGTTAATCAACGCACAGCATTACATACGTAGAAGTCTGTAGAGTTTTGATTTCTACGTAAAAATGGTATAGCAGTGCATGCAATGCCAAGTATGCATAACAGAGCCTTAACTCCCAGCTAAACATCGTAATGGACACCCAACCTATAACACGTGATCGAAAAATCAGTTGATGTGCTTTAAGCTGAAATTAGTCAAAAACGTAAACGCACCGGTACGTAAGCCCGAGTCAGCTGACACGATCTATCTTACCAGAACGCCATGTAAATGAAAACTCATCAACGCAGAATTTTTCTGTAGTTGTAGCCCGTAGCGCAGAAATCTGCGGAATTTAGATTTTTCCGTGTCAGCTGATTTCTTCCTTCTATAGATGGTTGCCAGTTCGTCAGTTTTGCGAATG